TTTTAAAGTAAATAAAATATGTGCGTACTTTTCAAAAACAAGTCAATTTAATAGTTCAAAGTTACAACAGGTTTACTTACTTTTTAAGTAGAGTCAATACACTGTAAGTGCTGTATGCAAGTATTTGACTCTTGTAAAGTATAAAAATACCAGCATTTTTTTGCAGAAATTTAAGAAACATGCTTAGTGAACAATCTTGTTTATCTGAAAAACAATGCTAAAGTCTGCTTTAAAAATGGGCATTCTTTGTTTTGGTTTCTTTAACCCGCCCAATGACAGTTTAGCCAATTAGATTTTAGCAACTTGGGTTGCCTTGTGAAAAACGGCGTAATTCATCCTTTCAGTCATGAAGGCTCTCAGAGCATGCGTCCGTGATCGAAATGCAACCTCCGGTGGACAGTAGCAGACTCTGAAATGAGACACAGATTCAGAGTTCCTCATGAGGTTATTTTTAGCAAATCGCATAAATATTACGAACGTAAACGTTAGGTGAGCAGGTTACATTGTAACCCGGTGTCCTAACAACATGCTACATAAGATTTGAATTAAGCAATTGGGCTGTTTGCATCAGACGAAACCCGACAAAAAATTTAAATACAGCCATTCAGAGGCACAGAATAATGCACTCACTGCACTTCAGCGAAATGGTAAGGTTTATAATCTAATTGATACATTTTAAACCTCTTTAACATTTAATAAATGTAGATGCTGAATTACTGTTGTGTTGGTTTGCACTCAGTCACAGTTCTGAAGTTCAATTCCGAATGGTTTATTTTATTTTTAAGATCTGCTGCTGGGAATAAATGTCACGTAAAATGGCATTCAAACTCGCATCATTATCATTTACCACTGAATAAAGCACATGGGGTATACCTGAGGTGATCACTGTTCATTCTGATTTTCACCAGTGAGAAATACACGCCGTTTCTAAAATTGGAATTTTAGGTGTTGGTTAGGACTAAAACTCCTTTTATTGCAGATATATTCCTTCTAATGCGTGCCGTTGCTTTTAGTTAGAAAATGGTTCAAATTAGCCTTTAGGCTCGATAGTCAGGCACACTCACGACACGTCAATCTGGCAACCTGCGCTTGATTCATCAGAGAAGGAGTGAAAATGTGCTTCGATCCAGGAGTGCAATACCTAGTTCAACCACTGGGTGTCAAACTTTCATGCTGCACCTTTAAGTAGTCAATTCACTGCCAAAAAAAACCCCGATGCAGCTGACTTAAAAAGTGAGTAAACCCATTGTTTTTAAATCACTTAGTTGACTTAATAATTTAAAGTAACTGATTTACTCACTTTAATTAAAGTCAACTAATTGATTTAAAAACAATGGGTTTACTCACTTTTTAAGTCAGCTAAATTGCTTTTTACAGTGTATTGACTTTACTTAAAAATTGAGTAAAACTGTTGAAACTTGTAACTTTCAATAAGTTGACTTATTTTTGATAAATATGCACATAATTTACTTAAAGTTAGTAAACCCACAGTTTTTTTTTTATTTATTTGTAGACTTTTTCCTTTATTAGATAGGACAGTATTTAGACAGGAAGTAAAGGTAGAGAGAGAGGGGGGGAGGGGTAGGGAAATGTCCTAGATTCGGGATTCGACCTCGGGACGCCCTTATGTTATTGCACCATATGTCGGCGCACTAACCACTAGGCTATAGGGAATATACCAGCATGCTAATAGGACTTTTAATTTGCCAGTAACCTGGGTTAAGCTCTTCCAGTGAACTGTGTGCCAATGCAAAAATTGTCGCGTTTAAGTCTTGTTTTATTTAAAAATCAGCGATCTCTGAGTGATATCCGATATAAAGTGGGACTCAGATTGTACAAGCAGCACTGCATTAAATTATATTTTTCCCCGCTTTTTGTCTCGTTTTATGCTTGAACAACTAAATAAATGCCAAAGTCTGTTTACTGATTGTATTTTAATGACATTACAACATCGATGCTGTATAAGGAATCGTATAAAATAGAAAAAGCTAACAATAACAAGTCACCGGAAGTTAATCAGTACGGAAACAACACTAGCTCGGCATATACCCTTTATATACTAAACCCACTGTTTTGATTTAATAATTGAAGGCAACAGGTTTACACAATTTAGGTAAAGTCAAAACAGTAGGCTTAAAATTAATCATGTGCATGATTATCAAAATTCAGTTATCAGTTTCAAGTTAGGCCAGGTTTACTCCATCTTTTTTTTTTCTTAAGTAAAGTCAACTTTTTGATTTAAGGCACCAAGTTTACTCACTTTTTTAAGTAAAGTAATAATGACTTTTTACAATGTATGAAATAAAGTGTATAGGGTCAAAATCCAGTCATTTAAAAAAGGATTATGAATTTCACGTTAGGATGAAAGGTTTCTATTTGCACCATGTCCATCATGTGAATTCACTGCATTGACCAATAGAAAGTTGCTGTTTCAGAGCAATTCTGTGTGAGCTGACTTATTCCATTATTTTGATCATTAAATTTCATTAAAATGTTTTTTTTTTTTTTTTTGTCATGTCATAACCATATATCAATATGGCGTGCATTTGAAGGGCATAAACCAGTTGTTGCTTAGTAACCGGTGTGATTTGTTTATTCATAAATACTGTATATCTGGATCATGTATGCTGTAAATAAGATTGAATTTCTCTATCGGAGTGTTTGGGGGGGAAGGTGCTTGTTCAAGATTAAGGTTATAATTAAAGTTTGCTTGTTTTTTATGTTCTGTGAGTGTCTTATTTGTTGTTGTCTCTGTTTTGTGTGGGAGTGTGTGAAAGTTTTGTTCTGTTTATTCAAAATAAAACCCAATTAAATCTAATTTTAAAGTGGCAAATGTATGAAACTATTACATTCAGTGAAAAAAAAAATCTGAAATTATGAGAATTTGATAAATTTTAACTTGTTTGTTTTTTGTTGATTTTACAATTGTTGTGCCTCTAAACTTAACCAGGCACTAGGAAGATTGTACAAATGAACCACCAATTGGCCAAAACATCAAACAAACTACACATTTCCATAATGCATTTCTGTTCATTCAGCAGAATCTGATAAGAGCCATATTTTTTTCTGAGAAAATGACAGTTATACTCATCAAAGCTATTTATTTTATTTTAATCATAAGGTCTTGCCCCATTATCAAATACTAGAACCTTTTAATAAATGTCAGCCATATACTGCACTGTAAAAAGCGATTAGTTACTTAAAGCGAGTAAACCAATTGCCTAAAAAGAGACAAGTTGACTTCACAAAAAGAACTGTTAAGTTGACTTAATTTATATAATTATGCAAATGTACTAACTTAAAAAAAAATAACTAATTACTTTTTCCAATACACATTTATTATACTTGTTTTTTTCCAGCTTTTCTGTATCTAATGAAAGCAAATAACATAAATATGCTCTTAAAGGGCACTATTTTGACGATCCAGGCGCAAAAGCTGTTTAACATTCATTTACTTTTATAAAGCAAAACACAAATTATTTATTAGTCAATGTAAAGTATTTCTTTTTTTTTTTTTTGACATAGTAGCCAATCCTAATACCAGATCGTGATAACATCACAAACAAAAAAAAATAAATTATACTGCAGAAGCCTATAGCACAGCCTACCTGTTAATTAAATTTAACGTCAGGGTAAATAATAGATTTTAGGATATTCTGCTTTAAAATAACTTCATACACAGCCAAATTGAAAGTGTTAATTTTATTCTCAAAGTGTGAAAATGAATTCATTCTGTTTTTATATAGTTCAATTTATAACTGAAATAGTTATATTTTTACAATTAGTGTTAACGCTGTTTTCCACTCCCTTTCATATTTGCATGGAGTAAATATGTTAAAACTACACTTTAAAACTACACTTTGTGTTTATATCTTAACACTGAGTGTCCTTAATACTTATAGTGTTCATACATGTCTAGGTTTATATTTAAATGTATTTTAACCATAAGATTATTTGTTGCATTATGAGTGTGCGCGTTGATCATTTAAAAAAATGGTTTGAAGAATGTAACGTTAGCTGTGCTATAATGTTAAATGGTAATGCGGTCATGCTGCGTTGTACTGTTCATGTCAACTATAAAAAAATATCTGTGATATATAATAGAATGCTAAACTTAAGTTAAACTAAAACGTGTTTCATTTATTGTCATAATTTCAAGCACATGTTGGCTAGCCACTCCAACAGAAAACACAATGACAGTTCAAACTGTAAACGGGAAACAATTCAACCAGTTAAATGAATCATTACCGCAAATTTCTCATAACATATTCTCAAATACCAAAACCTGAATCAAATATAAAAACTCTTTTAAAGGTTTGACTTTACATTTATTTTCCCACTAACCAACTCTTGGCTCTAGTTGATGTGTGTTTAAATTGATAAGTGGTAAGAACTCAACCTGGTTAATGTAGGAATGTATTGAATATTTGTGGTTAAATAAATTTTATACCTGTTTGAAAACTGCACTCCTGTGCCGTCCGCCATTGATTAATAACGTGAAGTGACCAGAAATGAAACTAGGTCTTTTCTAGTGTCAAATATGTCAATTCTGAAGGTGTTTGTGTCATTTAAATTAACATCACCAATAACACTTTTTAACTCAAAAAATTTGAAACCTTAATAACACTGGAAATTTTGCTGTGCGGTGTTGAAATGTAAATGAAAAACTGAATTGTAATACTAATATTGAGCTATCAAAGTTGGGAGGGAGCACATCACAAACTCATTTTAGTGACTGACTCGTAGAAAATTTTATTGAAGCTAAAATAATCATAAAATGATGTAAAGCACAACCGCGGCATGTTCCTGAAAGTCAAGGAAATTTAACAGTTTTTTGTCTGGGAATAGATGTTTTAACTACATCTAGTTTTACATTAGTTTCATTCATTAAGTCGAAGTACACCATTATACAGATAACCTCTTCAAAATATTTACACATTCCTCAATGTCCGACAGATGGCAGTGTTTACATGTAAAAAAAAAAACTCAATACACTCAAACACATTTGAAGTTGTACGTTTTATTTCACCTTCATGGTTATATATACACTGACAGAAACATACGCAAGAGAAACACCACTTAAATCAGCGTTTAATCTGCAATTTCACAGGGACAAATAGGTAGACCTACCAAATTTCAAACTAAGGCTGAAGGGACGAAAAGAAAGACCATATAAAACATACAAGTACAAAATAAAGACAAAAACTCATCGTAACGTATGACCCGAAGTGTAATGGAATTTTCAAGGCTGAGCTGTTGCCATAGAGCCTTTTGGCGCGAGGGAAGCAGCGCCACAAAAGGGGAAATTAAAAGTAGACCATCTTTTGTCATTTCCCTCGAGCTTCATTCTTCCACTCAGCCTGGTTCTCTAAAGCGCTCGCTAATCGCCGGCTTCAGTTCTCCACAAAGCCAGAAGACTTACAACGAGCAGAAACTGACCCGGTTTAGAGGCTTGGAATGACTAGTTAGTTCATACAATTACGTTTCAAATAGATGCATATATAATGTATATGTACACAATACAAAACAACCTTCACAGACTTTGACTTAACACTGCGAACAGGCTTGCTGTGTTTTTGTCTTGTTTTCCAGATACTAACACCAAAACATACATTGAGAAGGAAATTTTAAGTAATAGTTAACCAAAAAAATAAACGTCGTCGTTGAAAAAAATACATTAATCATATTCGCCCCATCCTTTTGATGCGAGCAACGGGAGTCTGTCGTAAATACAAACATTTATATGTTTGATTTTATAGTAAAATCTTGCTGTAAATTTATATTTTTATTTGACTTTGTTGTAACATTTTGGAATTTTAACCCTCACAACACTTTTAACCATCCACTTGTTCCCGTTTAAGTTACTGTTGAATACAAAGGATGATATTTTGAAGAATGTTGGGGGAGAAAAACAACTATTGATTTACATATTTTAGTTTCGACTATGGAAGTCAATGGATGTTTTTTCCCAACATACTTCAGTATACCTTCCTTTGTGTTCAACAGAAGAAACAGATGCATAGTAAGAGTATGGCAAGGAAATATTTTGTTTTCTCCTTCATTTTTCTTTAAATTCACCATTAGGCTGATTAACCCGATTATTACTTTTTAGAGTGAAAAAAAAAAAATAATAATAATAGGCAAAACAAAAAGAATACAATTGGCCAAAGCTGTGGATCTAAAATAATGTATTTTGTTTGACATAAATTTTAATTTCACTTCTTAGGACCTCACCGAATCAGTAGTGGGTAGACCATTTTGAGGGATGTAAATAATAACAATGGTATTTATGTATTTGCTGTTTTATATCTTCATTTCCAAATCTTATTAGAATCCAGAAAGGTCCATATTGACACTTTTTTTAGCAGCCATGTTAACATTAGTTACAACCGAATCGCCTCTTACAATTCAGAAATAGTTAAGACAAGCAGGAACTGTTCATGGATTAATGACATCTCCATACTGAAACGGTCAGTTAATTTGGTTTTGCCTGTATGTTTTTTTTTTACTCTCAAAAGTGCCAACAGTTGTTGCGAAACCCTTTTTGTGACACCATTATGAACATCTTAATTGTATAAAAAAAGATATAGTCACCAACAGGAAGATCACCTTTACGTATTTGGAGTTTTAACAATATGGATACTTGTACCAGAAAACAAGACAAAGCAGTAACAAATTTATTATTTGCAGTGCAGCATATTAAACATTTGATTCTTTTTTTAATAGTACATATATGGGAATTTCCTTAAATGGACATCAAATCAAGTTTTTCTCATTGCGATATTGCAGTGCAGCCCCGGAATCTTGCAATTATGACTGTCACTTTCGTGCCATGGCAGTTTTTTGGCCCACATGACGCTATTATCTATGTTAGTGTTAATGAACAGGCTTGGAGAGGCTTCCAGTCGGAAACACTGAAGTCTAGTGTGCTATAAAATCGCTGAAGAATTCAATTCTGGCTATGCCAAGATATAATCAGGTCACATAACCGAGGAAGTTTTACGAATTCTTATCTGCCTCGAAAATTCATGAAGTTGCAGGACAGAACGGCAACATCCTGTGAGGTGGATGCGAGTGTAAAGAAAAAGGTGAAATGTTAGAGGATGATTTTCAGCATGACAACACTCATACACACAAATCATATGGCTTGGCTGCAGCGGGGTGGGCGGAGCCTGACACAATGGTGGTTGTTTGATTGGTTGGTTGACTGATTGACAGTTTACTCCAGGGACTGCAGCATGAGGAGCTGCTTGAGCACCTTCGTCTGGCTGGTTTCTCTGATCTCTCCTGCTAGAAACATCTCGTCCACCACCGTATACACCTGAAACACATCCACAATACTTCTTAATAGCAGTTCACATATAGGGCCGCTGTTTTCAACTAAAAACTTGCTGCTTCGTGCATTTTTTACATGTGTTTGCACTCAAAAATATTTTTGTTAGTTGAGCTAAATCAATTCTTAAGTTTTTTGAGAGAAAAATTAATTGCTTTAGTTCCAATCCACTTTAATTTGCAAAAACAATTAAGTTAACTTAATCAATGTATGTTTGTCAACATGACTCAATTTTTGGGATATTTCTTGACTATAACGCAGTTCTACACAAACTTAAACTTCAAAAACATTCATTCGTTCATTCATTAATTTTCTTGTCGGCTTAGTCCCTTTATTTATCTGGGGTCGCCACAGCGGAATGAACCGCCAACTTATCCAGCACATTTTTACACACCAGATGCCCTTCCGGCCGCAACCCATCTCTGGGAATTTCAAAAACATTATTTTGTGAAAATAAAAATTGTGTGTGTTTGTATGCGTGTTAAAAGGTATGTATGCGTGTATGTTAATTAGGTTAACTAGGCAGGTTAGGGTAATTAGCCAAGTTATTGTATAACAATGGTTCTGTAGACTATCGTAAAAAAAAAAAAATTACCTTTAAGGGGCTAATAATTTTGTCCTTAAAATGGTGTTTAAAAATTAAAAATGGCTTTTATTCTAGCCGAAATAAAACAAGAAAGACCTTTTCCAGAAGAAAAAATATAATCAGACATATTGTGAAAGTTTCCTTGCTCTGTTAAACATCATTTGGGAAATATTTAAAAAAAGAAAAAAAAATTCAAAGGGGGCTAATAATTCTGACTTCAACCGTATATGTTTTTGCTTTTATATATTGAATTGATCTTTTTAACTGCCTTCTAATAAGTTTCATAGTATATTCTTGCTGACTCTCTAAACATGTTTTTTTTTATTCATTTATTTTTGACAAAATGAATGGCATACTAAACATGAGCTCACATATTGACAACAATAACAATATTTTAGTCGATAATAAATATTTCACATGCCTTAGTAAAACAATGATCAGACTTATTTTGGGATAGTGTAAAACACTAACTACACTGTAAAACTCAACAGTCAACTTTAGCAAATGAAATGAGTGTAGGTAACTCAAAATCTACTGAAAGTTAATTCTACTCATTTGAAAAAAAGTTTTGATCTCAGTGTTGAAGGTAATAAAGATAATTAAATACCTCATTACTTCAACTTAAATGGATTAAGCTTACAGTAATCAAATAGATTAGTTTTTAACTCAAATTGTTTGTTGCAATCGGTTTCCTCAAATGGTTTGAGTTGCCTAAACTTATTGGGTTTTACAATACTCAGCTAATTTAAGTTCTCTTCATTAGTTGGGTTTTACCGTTCTCAAATTGCTTCATTTACTCAAATAAATTAAGTTCACAGTACTCATTAGGATTAGTTTTTGAATTTAAATTTGTTGAAGCCGTTTTTTTTTTCAAACGGGTTGAGTTGCCTTAACTTTTTGGGTTTTACAATTTAGGGCCACACAGAATCTGCAGACAATGTTTTTGCTATTTCACCGCAGAATAAAAAAATTATAATTAAATAAATAATAATAATGTATTTGTAAGTAAAGTAACTAAAAACTGAATATATGAAATAAAAAAAAACTTTTTAACTTTTATTGAATGTTTACAATGCAAATCCAATTTGATCCACTTATTTGGTAAACAAAGCAAGATTCTCATGATATATCTATTCAAAGACAGAAAATGTATTTTTACAAACTCTACTGTAAATAAATCATATGAACATTTTAATATTGGTCAATAATATCACTGAAATTAGATTAAAAAACTGAATAGTAAATAAATAGACTTGATGGGCTATAAATCTGTGGAAATCTGCAAATTTCTGGCCGCGCAGATCCCTTCTTGTCCTAGTAATAACTAATAATTTAATGCATCAAATAAAATAAACATATACAAATGCATAGTTGCATAAATATACCATAATATAAAAGATCTCTAATGCTACCAAATAATATCTCATTCCAACTAAAACTCGTTTAATTTCTTAATGATGAAAAAGGTGATTAAAATTACTTTAAAAAATAATAAGATGTATTTTGTACATACAAACAGTGTTCCATTTCAATAAAATCAAATATTTCCAATTATTATTCGACATATCAAGCTTTATATGCTAATATATACACGTCTCATTAGTGTGTGTTTGGTGTGGGCCGCACTGTGCGGTGTTCACACAGTAGGCAGCATCAAAAATACATCAGGTAATTAGCAGAGCAGAAATCAAATGCCATTATCTTTGTCACCTTTTTTTTTTCTATAATTACTTCTGCTTTTCCTTCAGCCTTTCTCTCTCCTGCACTGAATGGATTTGGATGCTCTTAATTGTATGACTGTTGTAATTATGCATAAAAACACCTGTTGCCATGGAGCTGCATTGCTGCTGAAACGGAGAGCTAATTACATCTTTTTCTAGTTTTTGCTGCTTGTGCGGTTTTTTGTTTGTTTTTGGCCAATGAAGCTTTTCTCTCCTTTTACTGAAACATTTTATGGACAGAAATAACCAAGCATTTATCTTAACGAAATGCTTCTAAATGGGTAAATCAAGTCATGCTGCATGACTTCAGGAAAATGAGCACTTATTCAACAAGGACACGTGCATGTACAAGATAGGACTGCACAATATATCGTTTCAGCATCAAGAGCGCAAAGTGTGAACATGCAATAGTCCCATCGCAGGATCAGCAATATCAAGTTGGGATTATAGTTGATCAAGATCACAATTTCAGAAGGAGATTTTTGGGGTCATTGCAAAGTTTAACATAAGATATAGTGAAAGATATTTATTTGAATGTGCTTTTAAGACCCAAGACCTATTTTATATATTAAATGAAGACTCTACAATATACAATGTTCTTTTATATATTATTATTGCTTTTCTGTACCTCAATACTGTTACATCTGTTCAATTATATTGTATTTTATGCAGATACTCCTCTACAAAATAATCCCAAACAGTGTGAAACAAGATATTCGATCCAAATAGAGTTATAAGTAGGCCCACACAGAATCTGCACTGCAAAAATCCACAGATTTCCAGATTTTTAGCCCATCATTGAGGATATTTATTCACTTGTGTAAATGTGTGGAAATTTATATTTATTCAGTTTTTAAATACATTTAATTTATATAACTGACTAATATGAAAGTGTGGATCTAGATGGATTTCCATTATAAAAAATTCATAATAATTAAAAAGGTACTATTTTTTTATTTCATATATAATTTTTTGTTACAATACTCCCAAAATAATTCTCCTAAATTCTCAGCAGAAATAGCAAAAATTGTCCACAGATTCTGTCCGGCCCCAGTCAAAAGTCTTGTTGTGAAATTATATTTATATCGCAATGCCAGACTGTGTCCAATATAGTGCAGCCTTAGTACAAGACTAATGTTATAAATACGTTACCCTGGTACAAGACTAATGTAATAACGCGGTTTTTCAATTAAAGGGCACCTATGGTGAAAAATCTACTTTTCAAGCTGTTTGGACAGACATGTGTGTAGGTATAGTGTATAGACTGTCATATTGGGGTGATATACACACACACAGTTCTTTTTTTTTTCAATTTAACAACATAAAAACAGTGGATCAATTGGAGCGGTTTTCAGAGCAACTGCAACGTAGGAGTGTGATCCCCCCACCCACCAATATTGATTGACAGGCGCGTCAACACAGATCCTTAAGCAGGTCGCACACCAGAAGCGCCGCTCGGCGTCGCGACACGGCGCGTACATGACAGTTTAAAGTATCACACACCAGACGCGCACATTCGAATGATTTTTAACATGAAACTAATCAGATGGCGCTCTGTGGCGCGGCTGAAAAATGAACTGCGTCCTGAGCCGTCGCCGGGCGCCGCCGACAGCCGCCGACTTGCGGCGCCGGTGTGTATCCTGATAGAAACCTATGATTAGAATTCTAAAATACATGGCGCTGCGTGGCGCTGCGGCGCTTCTGGTGTGCGACCTACTTTAGTTTGTTGTTATGGGTCCACCATTTTCATCGTGTGAGTCAAAGCGATACCACCAAAGGAACACCCTTGCTCTATTTTTAGATGTAAGGCTCATTGGGCTCAACACAAGATTAATTTTCTCCACATTATCGCTTTAATCGGAATTATTGTTTGTACCTTTTGGTAGATTTGCAAATGTGTACTTTTCATTGCGTCTACCTTTAACTTCAGCTGGTCGCATCACAGAAGCTCCCTGTGATCTTAACTAGGTGCAGCTGGAAAAGTGCAAGCGCGTTGCCTTATGTGCGAGTCTCTCCATTGGAAATAAAATAACAAACTTGCCTGCAGGTCGCACACCAGAAGCGCCTCTTTGCGTGACGCGGCGCATTTCGGAGTTATGGGCGTGGGTTTCTGTCTGGGTGCATGCGGCAGAACTTCGGGTCGGCGGCTGGGCGCCGTTGTGTTGGCCTGGTGGAGGCCTGTATTTGGAGTACCGGAATGCATGGCGCTGCGTGGCGCGACGACTCAGGACACTTCATGTTTCTGCCGCTCCACTGACAATGTCTGGTGTGCCGTGTCGCAGCTTTGAGCGGCGCATCAAGTGCCTCAGTCAAAGTTAATTCAGTGTGCGTGATTTAGGGCTGGGTAAAATTTTCGATACGATACCCTGAATTCGATACCGGTTCCAAACGATACTTTTATCGATACTTTTATTTTAAGAAATATATTTTAACAAGATTAATTAATTCATAATCTCTGAGAAACTTTGGTTTTATTTTTTCAGGATGTTTGGGACACTTTTTACAGCAGGCTTATCACTAAGACCAATAAACAAAAGAACCAAAAGCACAAAATGAACAAAGTGTACTTATCACAATATATTAGTGCAAACAGTTTTTATAAAATTTAAACAGTTTTAAGTCGATCAATTTTAAGTATTTGTGAGTCTCACTGCTGCTTGAAGGATTAGTTCACCCAAAAA